ACACATACATAACACTGACAATCAGGCCCCCCCCCCCCAATTTCTTTCTTTGGGTAGACAATTTTATCAGTTGAAGCAACTAATCATTGGACAAACCTTACGTAAATGTATCAGGTAGGATATAAGATAAGTTAATGTATATAGTACTACTATTATAAACAAATATGAACATTTCAAAACATTTTCTTAGACTACATTTAGGTTATGGTAGTTAACCTATTTGTGACTGTAAAATCTCTCAAAGGCGAACGGATAGGAAACTGTATACATCTCACAGTATTTTTATATCCATCAGCATTAAGTGATATCACCTGATGGAATTGTAAGTCTGTAATAGTAAAAGTGTTTGTGTCTGTATCGGAACATTTGGCTATATCAAAGTAATTTTTGGATGTCAAATAAAAATTGATTTATTTTCAAAAATTGTTCAACAGATAAGATATGTTGTATGAGAGATACGTTTAGGAGGATGTTTGTGTAAATGCATTACATATGAGAACAATTTTATTAACTTTGTAACATTGCTGGGTAATAGGCATCACAAGTGATTTCTGTTAAAGTCTGCATTTACACATCAAACACCAGATTACAGTTCTAACACCAGATTACACCCCTAACACAAACCTCTCTCCATTTCCTTAGAGCAGTTCTATTTATGGCAAACTTCCTACAGAAATATAACTTTATATCTGTGAATTGGTCTGGCATCAATTCAAATGTGATATTCTGAATGAACATTGATAATAAGCGAGGAAAATTAAATTGGTCTAAGCTTGTAAGAGTTACTTCCCTTGAATTATAATTTTTTTTTATTCAAATCAGCAAGTGTTTAAAAAAATTGACATCCTTCCATCAGTTAAATGAGAAAACTTAAGAAACTCTTTAAATGCCACGAGGAATCTAACAGAAAAGGAACAGGGAACCTACAGAAGCTACTTTAAGTAAATGAGATATAACTCCTTTTGGTTTTTTATGAAACTATAGATTTTAATTAAATAGACATTTGTGTAATTACCAAGAATACGCTTCTGTCTCTGAACATCTTACTTAACTGTGAATATCTTTTGTGAAATTTCAGAAATGTTCAAGCTGTAGCTCAGTACTAGATATTTGCAAACAAAAACAAAACAAAAAACCTGCAAATTCTTCTACGATCCGATATATATTTTACACTTGTGTTTTGCGGTAAAAGAGAATCATTAATCTACTTATACACAGAGAAATCCTACAACTATATCACTACAAAACTAGCAAAAATGTTTTTCATTACATGTACTTACTTATTTTATTTGAAATATTTAAAATGCTAATTATATTAACATCAATTTGACCATGAACTGAATCCTCATTAGATCATTCTACGTACGGAATCATTCAGAAAAAACAAAATCACCCGATGTGACAACAAACCAATCAAATTCAGAATGACAACTTTTCAATTTTAGCTGACCAATCCAATCGTTTGTTACATAATTTGAGCTGGAAGTGGAGATAATGATGTATGGTCGTACATGACAATTACAGAGAAGCACAGCTGTCTACACTCCTACATACTTGTCCAGACTGCCTGCTGATGCTTCGTCATCCTTCCTCACACCCAAACCATCAACACTCTGGCTATCATCACTGCATAAAACCCATCCAATCCTGCTTATTTACTTTCCTGCCGTTTCCTCAATTCTAGTATACAAGAGAGATTTTTTCTATCTGACAGACTCACAAGACTGTGTGACGCAATACAACTTACAGTCAATGTTACTGTCGTAAATATGCCTCTGTGTATCAGTGTTAGGGAGTACCAGATCAGGTTTAGGACATTTTTTACTACCACTGATTAGGAGAATGTTGTTTTTATATTCTTGCACTACACTTTGGGTATAGAAACACACTTTGTACTAGTTTCAGTACACAATTTGGGATCCTCCTTCTATTTTTTCATGTTTTTTTGCATATTTCAAATACTCACTACAAAAGTGTCCACAAAGAAAATTTATATAGATACATGCTTTTGGGAAAACTTTTTTGTTTTTGATTTCCTGCATTTTGATAATTGAATTCGCTATTTTAAGATAGTTTTAGATCATTATTTCCCGTAAAATTGGATGTTTATGATAACAAATATTAAAATTCTGTTTCTAATCTACCTCTCTGTTCACTACTTATAAGAGAACCTGGCGTTACAGCCAGGTTAATCTACTTATGTAACTTTCAAACTCTGATCAGAATCCAAATTGCTGCAACATTCAAAAGCTGCCCAGATAACACCACAGGGAATATGCAGGCCTAAAAAGCCACTACCGTTTGTGAAGTTTAACGGCTACAAAGCAAAGTTGTACAAAAACTGTTTACACTTGACGGATGTCTAAAAGCCTACACATAAAGTGCCGGTGAAAAGCTTCCTGTATATATAAATTGCTGCATGTTTCAGCAAGGAACAGGCACTTGGCAAAACAAGCACAAATAATTCTTCAGCTCTCAGAAGAATTACCATACTTATGGCAATGAAACCTGGACCTTTCTTAAAGTTTTTGATCCCTGGTTTATCCATTGTATAACGTTTGTGAAATATTCAAGCTACAAACTCGTTTTGGTGGTTTGTGGGTATACATTTCCTTGTTAACAAGAACTCTTACAAAATGTATTTAATATTTTTTGATATAAGCGGTCAGTTTTCCAACATACAGGATATGAGCATGGTTATTGTAAGGTATCGTGATTGAACTTTGACCTACCTTAGCCAATGGAGAGGAATCAAGGCCATTCTGATTGGATCTGTTTCTGAACAATCCCGCCTCTTTTTCTGCAGGTGTAACCTTGAGACTGGACGTTCGTCTCACACCATTGTCTCGGCGAGCCAGAAAACTTGCCAGTGGTGTCTCTGGTTTTACATCCGGGGAATTACACTTATTCTCAAACAGAAGTCTCGCACTCTGCGTCCTTCCAAGTTTTGTTGAACCTGTTTTTCCTTCTGAAGCACCATTTGGGGATGAGTCGGTTTTCACTGATTTCTTCTCCTGCTCCTTTTCTGATGACGGTAATGAAGATGAAGAGGATTTGGATGGTGGCGATTCTTCAATTATCTGATAGCGGTTATTGTTAATTTCTTGCTGTTTGGATTTCTCCATAGCCAGATCAATCGCCCGAGCCAAGAAATCTTTTTTCTGGAAAAGAGGCTGGCCAGCACGTGCACTCTCTGACCTGCGTAGTGTTATCGTAGGTCGTGGAGGATTATCTTTTTGAGGTAAAACTTTTGAGATGGAGTCTGTTTTGTCTAGATTCCTAATGGAAGATTTTGTGTCACTTATAGCACCTGTAGAAGTTTGGGTTGTTTGTTGCGTTGATTTATCAGATTGAGCTACTTGTTTTTCTTCAGCTTTTTCTCGTGAAAAAACAGGTTTTGTTGGAACACGCGCACTTTCTGTCCGACGTAACGAAACATTTTTCCATGGCGGGTCATTATCCACCTTTGGTTTGTCCTTACTTTTGTCTAAATCTCTAAATGGTGACACATGCTTTTGCTCTTTGTCTTTCATGTTTAGAGACTTAAACGGGTTGTCTTTGGAATCATCAGTGACCTTACTACTCTTTCCTAAACCATTTAAAACTTTGCTGAACTCTTCTTTCTCTGAGGTAGATTTAGAATTCTTGTCATCCATTTTTTTCAAGAAACGATCACGCACACTTGAGTCTGATGTTATTTTCATACTCTCGCTTCTCTTGACCCCTGTGTCCTTGACTTTGGTCAAGGATGGCGCGACTGTTTGACCTTTATCTCTACCAACAATCCAGTCGGTCTTCTGTGGTGTTTTATTACGCGCTCCAAGCTTTGGTGACATCTTGGTTTTGGCACTTTCTTCATCTACAAAATTAATTTTTATATCAAACTCACTTATTTATCAGATTTTGAGAAAATATGAGCAGCAGAATGGTCTTGACAAAATAGATTTGTTAAAAATTTAATGACATGATTTTACGAGTTGCTGAGCTTTAAATCAAATGAAACATTTGTTTGAATTTTGTGTTTCTCTAAACTTACCTGTAACTGTTAACTTGCATGTTGAAGTCACAGATCCAAAAGAGTTTCTAGCCACACAATCGTAGCGTCCATTGTCCTGTTCAAATATTTCCTTGATGGTGAGTCGAGCGACATTGCTATCGTAGGTCTGATGGAAGTCGGGCATGTTTCCTATGACTTGGCCATCTTTCCTCCACATGATCATGGGGACAGGACTTCCTCTTACATCACACTGGAGGGTGACGGACTTGCCCAGGACCACACTGATGTCAGACAATTGGTGAAGAATGACTGGGGGACCTTGTTTTGCTGAGAAAAAAGTCAAGCGTATTTGTCTTAATTTGTTCATAATACCACTTAAACACGCTATTCACTGTCAACATTAATTAATACGGTAAGAATGAAACTACATGAAAGTTCTTGCTTTTAGGAATTTGAATTGCACCAATGATTATAACGGTCATAATCTTGAAATTCCAAACACATGCGTAGGATGTTGTATATGTCACATGAAATTCCAGCATTAATTGAGTTAATAATGTGAGAATGTTTTGAGCTTTACGATCCTTGCTGTTCTGTAATGTAGTCCACTGGTAATTAGAGTGTCTGGTGACATTTCAGTCCCGCAGTGTTCCTAAACACCAGGCCATCAATACACTGATGATGTATGTACATATGAGGAATTAATATTAGTCTATTCTGATGTTTCTAAGCTTATTTACAGCCCCGCTCACATGCTGATGTTTTTACACTGCACATATTAAATTCCGTTTGTGTCCAGTACATTGAATTGATGACAATTCTGTGAAGTTTTTACATCATGTTTTGATCCATTACAAATTCCAATAATAAAACCTGTTAGTGTGGAACATTTAGTATTCTATATTAACACCTGAAATTACTCATGCACCATTAATCTAACACCCCTAAATTTCAAAAGTAGACTATTCTTTCATTGATCAGGGCTAATCAATTATGGATTTTGGAGGGTGGACTGCTATCGTGTTTGTGGACAGCCAATACACACTAAATCGTAGGTATAGGGTAGCCGCTGATACACAATAGGGGACTTGGTCCGGGGACTTACAACCCAAGGTTTCCACATACACTATCAGCAATTAAAGGGAACTCAGACTGAATAGGTGCTCTTTAGTGATTGCAGATACACTAATCTTATTTCTCAAATAGACTTATCAGAATTCATTCAATTCTTAAAAGAAATTTGTCACTTTTTGACATCTGACATGTCATTCTATAGACAAGAAATAAATGTGCTACTTTTCTTTATGCTAACTTTCTGTTCAAGTATATATCTGTGATAAATCATCGAAGATTTCACTTCAGAAAAGTTTAATATTCTCAAACCAAAAGGTTGAAACTCAAATGTTGGAATTATTTTACATCTGTTGAATTTCAATATTTGATATTAATATATATATGTATTTAGAAAATATCTACTCTATTTATCAAACACCCCAGAAGGCCTTTATTTGTCAGTAAACTTTATGAATGGAGTTATTTGCCCTTATATTTGTCACACAGACTTAGCCCTGCCTGATTAACTTTGGGTATGCTAACTAACAGGCACTCAAAGTATGATCAACTTAATTGAAAAAGTAAAACATAATCAACGTCTGTTATAGTTCAGTAAAACTTGGAATAGAGAGTGTTTAAATATTAATAATGATAATCTATAGGTATACAATGAAAATACTTCACTAACATTTAAACAAGTTTGAAAAATAACAGTTTATGATCAAACTTTTGGTATGGTGATCAAGCTTGTTTCCCAGAGAAGATTAGGTTAATAGCATTACATATACTAGCCACAGTCAACATGATGAGTCATTAGATTTAACCCCTTGTAAACACTGTATGGTATTTAATTACCAAAATACCCATAACCATTGTATGTTATATATAGAGACATGTAGTATGTGTTACTATACCTGCATGTACTACAAGGGAATAATATTTCTATAGGAATGTTAGTGGTCATTAAGAAATACAGACCGCTTTCAATTGACCCCTGGCATCACTTACTGACCAAAGGCTAATAATAAGGGGTCAGTGACAAATCTTTGAAACAATTTGTTTAAAAAGGTATGTCTTTTATATACCTTTCACAACAATGAGAGCATCCACGGTGACCTTGCCCTCTGCATTCTCTGCCGTACATTCGTATTTGCCGCTATCATCCTTGCTGGCATCCGAAATCCTGAGTGTAGCCACACGGCCATCATATGTCTCCTTGCACCCCCGGCCGCTGGTCAGCTGGTTACCATCCCGTGTCCAGGTAATGCTGGGTTTGGGTGTACCGATGACATCACAGTCCAGCAGTAGAGTGTCGCCACCATTGAGGATCTTACTGCCTGGCTTTGTCAGGAATATGGGTGCAACGTTTGAATCACTAGCAGTTTCTGTGAAATATAGAATTTCACAATCTATCAAAATGAACGGCCCTCCATCATACTGTGCTTATAAAGGGGATGGATTTACAGAAATCTGTAGAAGTAATTCACTGGTTTGGCCCAAAACAATGGTTTGACCTTAATCCAATGGTTTGACCCTAATTCAATGGTTTGATCCTAAATCAACAATGATTTGACCCTAATTCAATGGTTTGATCCTAATTCAATGGTTTGATCCTAATTCATTGGTTTCAACCTAATTCATTGGTTTCACCCTAATTCAATGGTTTGATTCTAAATCAATGGTTTGACCCTAATTCAATGGTTTGACCCTAATTCAATGGTTTAACCCTAATTCAATGGTTTAACCCTAATTCAATGGTTTGACCTTATTTCAGTGGTCTACTACTAGTTATAATTCATTTCAGCGGTTTGTTTCTACTTTATTTTATGAACATACAGCTAGATTCTTGAAAAAAATTGTATGTATGTGGCGTCCAACTTTGTTATAGAAGCTTAGTGTGAGATTTACCTGTTTCCTATCTAATTTACATACTGAATCAAGTGGTGTATTAATGTACAGATTCTCTGCTGTGCTTGATTGTAATTAAGATTCTTACACATCACTTTACATATTATCTTTCTCCCAATTAAAAATCCTGTAAATCTACCAATTGCTATAATTAGTGACATAAACTTAAATGTATACTTTTTATACCCTGTTGTGTTTAAGATCACTTTTTAATTAAATTGTTTAACACTTGTTTCTGATTCAATAATTTTGTAATTAATAGAAGCAATTAAATGAAATTATTATTTTTGTATAAAAAAAAGAAGATAATTATTTTCTTTTGTCAACACTTAAATGATAAGGGTCTTATCTGATAAACAAAAAAGGAAAAGCTGCTAGCACTGAAACCTCATAATTCAGTGCCAATAGCAGCCATGTCAGGAAAACCGAAAGAAATGTGAAAATGAAAAACTTGAAAGTTTAGGCAAACTCCAATATCTGAAGCACTTTTAGATAGTAATGAGAGTTTAAAATTCAAATCTGCCAGTTTTATTTAATTTTAAGAAATATAATTGCCAGCGCTGAAAATTAAGTAAATTTAGGTTTCATGACATTATGTGGATTGGAATGTGTATAAACAGATGGTAACGATATAGCTCCTTTTATGCTGGGAAAACACGATCTTATTTTCCCGATAAGAGGAACGACAAAAAAACATGAGGTAGTCAATGGATGCAGACTTCTTAGTGTTTTTGTCTGGAAAACTTCAGAAAGCACCACTCAAATGCATGCTGGTCTAACCATTTAATGGCAGGGAGTTAAAACTCTACAAATTTACCGTAAATACACTAAAATAGCATCTTGATTTTCATTTAAATCTGTGATCAGTGATATTGCAGATAGAGAATGTAGATAGAGTATATACAAATACTACAGTAGCTATAGGTGCTGGTCTGTTGTATAACTGTAGTCGTGTGATTAAAGTTGTTCAACATAAGTTATAGATGTTGTATAACTACAGATGTATGTTTTTGTATGGCGAGAGTTGCTTGTGTTGTATAAGGCTACAATATTTGTCTGACCTCATAGTTCCATTATATCTATGACTTTGAACACGAAGCCAACATAATACTGTTCTGTCAAACACCAAAGTGCTGCCAGTGTCCAATGTTAACTTTGAAATCCTGTTTGATTCTTTTATAGATGTCGAAACATCTTACAATTGGCTGCATATACGTACTTGAAACTTCAAACTTTTGAAAACCAGTAAAAAAGCTCTGATCTAGAAGCCTCATAGACATCTGATGATTACATACAGCCAAATACCTCTCAAATTAGAGAGGATTTTCCAAAAGGCAGATCATTTCCTCTTCATTTTTGTTCATTTTTTTCTTGTTAATGTAAATTAATTTGATGAGTTCCAATAAAATACATATATACCCCTTTAAGAATATCAACTGAATTTGACACAACTATTAACAGTTAATTGGTTCTCATCATTTGGGAGTAACTTAACACCATTTCATGACCTTGACATTAACATTCTTTTCCTGTAATATTTTTTCTTAGCCTTGTGACCTTGACCTGAACCTTTACTGACCTTTATTTTGCAATTATGTTATCTTGACTCCTGTTTTGATGACCTTTGTCCTTTGAAACCATCAAAGGACAGATATGTGTGTAATTTACACCAATGGAACCTAATTTTAACACAGATTATATAGAGAGGGGAAAGTGTGATGCCGTGATGGTTTCTTCCTGGTTTTATCTCATTCACCCCTACAGTTTCATAAACTGGACTTGCCCAGTCTTTGATTTGGTAAGGTTCAAATGTGACTTTAAGGGTGAATGGGTTAACTCAATAGAATCTACCTCTGTGAACATGGGTTATCAGGCTCCAAAGCCAAATATTCATAGCCTGAATCCTTAACCACATGCCAGTAGAAATTAGTTGCAAAGGATACATGTAATTTTAAAAGAAATATAACTTAGGATATAAAGTAATCAAAATGCTTTATTAGTTTGTAACATTAACCAGGTGACTGATTTATTTATAGATTTAATCAAATACATCCTTCACATTAGGACTAGCTTATCCTACATTTATAACTACCTAATGAGATATCCTAAGAATGAAGGAACTTACTTGATCTCAACTAACCAGCGACATGAAAATACCCACATTGGTGTAAAAGTTAATCTTTATAATTTAAATGAGATTACTAAATTCTGGAAACTACATATTGAGAGCACTTGTCTCACCTGGATCTAGTGATCGTGATCCGAGTCCAGCTGAGACAGTACCTCTACACACCTCTAATGATGTCACAGGTGGGGACCCCATACCTACAATATCACTGACTGCGATCTATTACAAGAACTATTACTATGCGTAATCACGGGCTGGGATACGATACAAGGAAACATGATAGGCCTTTAAATTTGAGCTTGCCTCTTTACCATGTTCAAGGAAATGGAGAGCTATAAATATAAGTTGATTTTATTTTTATTCCAAGAAAACTTCGCTTGTGATTGTCAGCTAAACTTTAAGGATTACCATCCCCCTACACCAAATCTTGATCCTAAGATATAAGTTCTGACAAGGACCCCTCTAAATCTACTGCTGTTGAAGTTACAGAAAATATCTCCATGTCAACTTTCCCAACCAATAAGATACCATCCTCTTATATACTTCATCTTTTCATTCATGCTATCATAAACTAGAGTTCAAAGGTCAGCTTCTTATAAACAGCTGTTGTAAAACTATTCCCAACTGTAATTCTGTCATAAATCCTGCTTCCCCTGTATTTTGTCATTGGCATTATCCTACATATGATCTGGGAGCTACCAATTAACTTAACAATGATGGGGGTGACAGGCTGTTGTTTTCTGTTTATTTACTTGAGGCTTATGTTCACTACCATAGAATGTAAACAGTCCCTGTGGGGGTATATTATAATATCAGGCCCCAACAGAAATGCAATTCCTTGTTGCCAAGTTATATTTCCATGCTTACTGATGGCAGAAAATTGGTTATTTTCAGTATGTATAGAACTTCCAAGGTCATCACTAAAGCTATAATAACACAGTTCTTATCTCCAGTAATAACCAGATAACAACCCCGTGGAGTAGCTCACTTAGTTACTGATACTTTCTGCGACCAGGATAGAAATATTTGTTCAGCTGTTGTTTTCATTCCTAATGTATTGTTCTAAAACAGCATTATGTTATATGCCTAAGTGAGTATTTTGATCTGTTATAAAGATTCTCCTCCATATACTTTATTCCATTATCTCCCGTTACCCAAATGTGTCCTATCGATGAACTGAATCAAGTGTCATCTTGTTGCCAAATTAATTAATTGAATCTGATATTAGCTACATTTTTTTCTATACTAAATCTATTATTTTATGTTAGTATCGTTCTCCTCATGCAAACTTAAATTTTCATCTGTGACTATTTTGATCCCTTATTGACTAAATCCATTATAATCTTTTGTTACCAAAATCTTTTTCAAATGAATTACATAATTTACCAACTATATTTGAAGTGAACAAAGGTAGCTCTGTTGCTATCCTAGTCCCCATGGTGCCCCTACTACAGTATTTCCATAGTTTACTGGCAGAGTACTGTATATAACCAACATACATGGTATTGCTTGTCAACTGTTTGATTTCTAATTACTCTTGTTGCCACTGTTTGTTCAATCAACTGCCTTGGTATATTTCCAGCTTGACATGAACCCCCACCCAGTTCTTGTCATTACCTAGTGTTTTAATAGAGGATGTTTCCACCTAACACCATTAGGCTTCACAGGATTGGTGTAAAGAGCTACCTACATTAAGAATACATGGTACCTTACAATATGTGTTAAGAGTTATTTCCCCTTAAAGCTTACAATACAGGTTCTACCTAAGTATGTTTTCTTGCTTACCTTTCCAAAAACATTATGATAGATTCCAGAGGTCCATCTCAATATACATAAAAGAGATTAAATATATTTCTAAGAGTAGACCTCTTTTGGAAAGCTGATAAATGTCAGTTAGAGAGCATGTAGTCAAAATGACCAAATATATTTAATTGTAATAATTCTTTTTTTCTTTCTTTCTGTATCTGCAAGGCTAATAGCCTGATACTATTCTGAATGTATCCCTTCCTGCATTTATTAGGGTGATATCATCCTCTAACTAGACATTACTCTGTGTGTATCCCCTAAAGTGAGACCCCTGAGTGTGTGAGGAGTGAAACACTCCTCTAACCATATGCAACTCTGCGTGTATCCCTGTCTGTGCCTGTGAGTTGATAAACTCCTCTACATTGTGATATCTTGTACATATGTATGTCTACTCTCCGATGTGTTGTAAACATAAGGAAATAAAGAATCTGAATCTGAATCTAACTAGACATTACTCTGTGTGTATCCCCGAAGGTTAGACCTCTCTCTGTGCCTACGAGTTGATAAACTCCTCTAACTAGACATTACTCTGTGTGAATCCCCTAAGGTTAGACCTCTCTCTGTGCCTGCGAGTTGATAAACTCCTCTAACTAGACATTACTCTGTGTGTATCCCCTAATGTTAGACCCCTCTCTGTGTCTGTGAGGATGATAAACTCCTCTAACTAGACATTACTTTGTGAGTATACTCTAAGGTAGACCCTCTCCCTGTGGTGTTAGATAGATATGAGGACCTGAATGCCACCTGATACCAGTAAATGATGAGAATTAAAATGTCCACATGGACTGGCACACTTTCTNCCCCACCCCCTTCATATCTCTATAAAACCATAAACATCTGTTTTCAATATCAAACATCTTCACCTAATGCAGAATAAACTGCTGCTACTAAACCTGAGAATGTTGCATTAGTTTCTCCTCCCAAATCTTCCTGCTTACCACTTTTCTGAACTAATATGAAGTGGAATGTGCCATACCTTTCATTCTGGATATTCCTTGTAGTCAAAAAGGGGTCAAAGGATGAAATTAATTTCTCATAATATTAATGATACTGTTATCTTTATCTAACAAGTGGGTGCTGACAGGTGAAGACACTTGCTAATAAGATAGCAATATACACTCATTAGAACAATTTTGTTTATTTTCACAGATATGCATATTCATTAGAACTAAGCTATGAGCTGATTGGTTAATTTTAGTATGAATTAAGACTTGTTGGTTAAATTTAATATAAAAAAGTGAAAAGATAAAAAGAAACATTTTTACCATCAATGAAAAGTATATATACGCGGCCTTTATAATCTACCCTGAAGTATAGGTGATATTTAACACTACCAGCTTCACCTTTCTGATAACACTGAACCATCCCTTAGGAATGTACCTTTATTGTAAATTCCCCACATGCTTCAGAAACACAAGCCAACAGTGAGCAAAGTTTTCAACTTTAATACTTGACACTGTATCAGTTTTACATCAACGTTTGTCCAAACAAAAACTTACAATGACATATATATACTTACTTCCCTTTCTGAGTATCATTGGAAATCTTTTGTAATGAAGGTCAATATACTATATTCACCGGTGTATCATGTTTGATACAAGATGTGCGCTGATATGTGGAAATTGTATTAATTTGTGCATTTAACAATTCAACTTTAAACATCATTCTTGGCTGGACAAGGTGGAGGTTTTGGTAGGGAAAACCCAAGTCTGCTAGCATTTGGTAGGGAAAACCCAAGTCTGTTAGCATTTGGTAGGGAAAACCCAAGTGTGCTGGCATTTGGTAGGGAAAACCCAAGCCTGCTAGCATTTGGTAGGGAAAACCCAAGCCTGCTAGCATTTGGTAGGGAAATCCCAAGTCTGCTAGCAGTTGGTAGGGAAAACCCAAGCCTGCTAGCATTTGGTAGGGAAACCCCAAGTCTGCTAGCATTTGGAAGGGAAAACCCAATTCTGCTAGCATTTGGTAGGGAAACCCCAAGTCTGCTAGCATTTGGAAGGGAAAACCCAATTCTGCTAGCATTTGGTAGGGAAACCCCAAGTCTGCTAGCATTTGGAAGGGAAAACCCAAGTCTGCTACCATTTGGTAGGGAAAACCCAGGTCTGCTAGCAGTTGGTAGGGAAAACCCAAGTCGGCTAGCAGTTGGTAGGGAAAACCCAAGTCGGCTAGCAGTTGGTAGGGAAAACCCAAGTCGGCTAGCAGTTGGTAGGGAAAACCCAAGTCTGCTAGCATTTGGTAGGGAAATTAAAGTATTCTAGACAGGAAATTACATAAAAATAACATGTCAAAGTCCTTTTCCTTTTTCATTTAACTCAATTAAGAAGGGTTTTGTTCGTCTCTATATTTCAATTCTTTTGCAAATAAAAGATTTGATTTCTTCAACCATAATGCTTCAAAACTGCCTAAAATAGAAACCCAGGTATTAGAAACGTGGCATAAAAACAAGTCTAAAAATGAAGTTTTTAAATTTTAAGATTATCTTCTTAACACTGAAAGTGAAATAAAGCTCAATATATATATATAATAGGGGGAAGCAAAATGGAAGCAACAAGAGCTAGAGGAATAGAACAGGGAAGGAGCAGGGGAAGCATGTTGAAATATTACATCTGCATCAATGCTTGCACCCCTACAAAGAACAATGGAATGGTCCAGTTCTAATAAATGAAAGAGTCCATTGTTGACTGTAGGGGAGGAAACAATGTCACCAATTGTGAATAAGAAAGTGATACAATGAAGCATTAGAAATGGTAAGTAAAATGTTTGTGATGAGTGATTGTCAAATAAAATGCTTAAAACAACAACAAAAATATATTATTCTTGTTATATTTTGGTTCAAACTTGATTAATGTCTTTTAAAATGTATTAAATTATTAACACCTTTTAGATAAATAAGAACATGTGAATGAAATGAACACATAAATCATAAACATCCAATGAAGCACAAGGACACTTAGAGGTCATAAGGTCACCCTGTGACCAATGACATCCTCCGTTATATCACAGACATTGAGGACGCAGAAGAAAAATGTAGTACAAGCGTGACCACAGTGACAGAGAAGTAGTCAGATATACAAGCTGTTTGAATTACCTTTCACATTTATTTTACACACTGTCTTAGTCTCCCCCAGGTCATTTTTGGCCACACATGCATATTCTCCCTTGTCATCAAGAAATATTTCAGATATTTCCAGCTTTGCTGTGACACCATCGAAGGTCTGTTTAAAGTCGGCTGAGTTACGCTGTATGATTCCATCCTTGTACCATGACACCGTGGATGCCTCCTTCACAACACATTCCAGTTCTACTGACTGACCTTCGGTCACAGACTGCTCCTTCAGCTTCTTTTTGAATTCTGGCTTTCTCGTGGCTTTTTCTGTATTGAAGTAAAGAAAGTGAATAACTTTTCTCTGTGTTAAATGAAAGAGTGCAAATGGTTTTCAAATTTGTCTCTGTTGTGAAAGTTTTTAATTTCATCAACATCCCAGTCTATTGTCCAGATTAGAATATCAGAAAAAAGTTATAAATCTTCAGACAATATTTAGTTGATCTAGCAGCGCTGACATATGGATTTATTTAACTTGTATTTATTCTATAGTATTTGGGGTAATATCATGTGTATCAAATGCTCAAGGAAGCATGTTTAATTTCCTTGAAACTGAGCTAGCAACATACGGAAAGTGTAGATCACAGATATCAGGAAACATATGTAAACAAAGCAACATGTGTGATCTGTATGTTTATCTAAAATCATTTCCACACATCTTACAAATGTTTTACATATGTGAGCTTGTGCAAATAAACCTTTTCTTCTGCCTATCCCACTGTTAAATATCAATAACTGTAGGGAATCCTCTGAGAGCGCTATACCTGGTTTCAATAGACAATCAGGCTTGTGAGTGCAGTCGATGGTCTATTGAAGAGTTTGCTGCAGATGCAGTTACACCTTAATATAGCTATGTAGGCTAGTACAATTTGTACCAGATCTTTGTATTGTATACCAGTTTTATAACATCATTTACATGGTTAAAGAGGGTTTTGAGATATCTGCTTGTGAGTGCAGTTGATGGTCTACTTAAGAGTTTGTTGTAGATGTAGCTACACCTTAATATAGCTATGTAGGCTAGCACAATTTGTACCAGATCTTTGTATTGTATACCAGTTTGTAACTGAACATCATATACATGGTTAAGGGTTAAGATAACGATATCTTACATTGTATTAAATTACAATTTTGCAGCCTATTTACTGTTGCTGTTTTCCCAGTTGTAGAGGAACTGCAGGTACAAGTGCAGTAAATATAATTATATATACAATTTAATTAAATGTTTAAAAATTACAGTACTGATACGGAGAAACTTTGTATCGGCAAAGCAGAGTTAAAACCTAAAACTGTTATTATAAGGGTTATATGATATCACATAAAGAGCGTTTTCTTATAATATCATTTAAGCACATGTCTTTTAGTCTAGTTTATGGCATTATTAATATAGTACATATATAACTTCATACATTTATTTTTTTAGTGTATATATTACACAATATTGCATACAGCATTAACAAGTTATGATAGTAAGACCTACTTTTGATGACGAGTTTTTAAGTTGTTTCTGCCTCTCCGAGAGGATTCCGATATATATATTACACAATATTGCATACAGCATTAACAGGTTATGACAGTAAGACCTACTTTTGATGATGAGTTTGGAAGTTGTTTCTGCCTCTCGGAGAGGATTCCGATATATATATATTACACAATATTGCATACAGCATTAACAAGTTATGACAGTAAGACCTACTTTTGATGATGAGTTTGGAATTTGTTTCTGCCTCTCCGAGAGGATTCCGATATATATATTACACAATATTGCATACAGCATTAACAAGTTATGATAGTAAGACCTACTTTTGATGATGAGTTTGGAAGTTGTTTCTGCCTCTCCGAGAGGATTCCGGAAGTTACATTTGTATTCACCCATGTCATTCATCCCCGAACTTTTGATGGTGAGAGTTGCCTTTCCTGATGGGCCATCAAACTTGGTGTCGTAGCGCACAGACGAACCGAGGGCTTTATTATCCTTCGACCAGGAAACAGTGGGGGCAGGGGAACACATCACAGCACACTCCAACATAGTGGTGCTGCCCTCTAGTGCCAGAACCTCCTTCAATGTGATACGAATCTCCGGAGAACCTAAAGTGGACATGATATCATTAAAGTGTAGTCTTGGACAGAAATCTGGCTTTGTCACTGTGACAACTCTCTACCGTCACCTGCCATGGCAACCTCCTAAAAACAGGAGGAAAAGCGATGGAAACAACATTGAAAGCACATGGTGGTTTAGTCTTCACTAATCGGTAGTGTTTCTATTACTAGACCACCGACAATAGGTTGTCATAAAAACAGAAGGCAATGTAGCAGGAATATGTACACAATGTCAATGACAGTTTTACTACAGGCGAGGTGTACACTGACGATATACAAGTTCATTGGTCACAAACAGATACCGCCAAATATTACAACTAGTTGAATGACACAACATACCCAATAACAATTAACCAGCGGATGTCAAGAATATGATGTACCGCTATCAATGGTCCCCTCAGAGTCACAAGAAGGAGGACAAGTGAGCTACCTGATCGGAGAAGAAAACACCAATGTACGAAAGCTCAAGTAGCCCAAGGACTGGAATGAATAGGAAAGGCATGAAACAATGCAATGAGGTAATGGAAATCATCAAACCTGCAGTAGAACAAACACTGGCAGATACTGTCGGTTGGCCAGACACAACCATTTATTTACACCATTTCCTACTGTGGAGGCTGGAGAAAAAATAGGGGCAGTCTGGCACATGGTCAGCTTGATATTGTCAGGATCAACATGTTTAAAACTTCTCTTCTTACTTAAATTACATAGATATTGGCCATTACTTATTTTAGTTTCTGTGTAATAATAATTATGTTTCATTACAGGCAGTATATTCTGTTGTTGCTAAAACAGTTTTCCAGGCAAGTTATGTTATTTTATCATTTGGTAAAGCTGACCAGACAATCTGTATATTCCTGCTAAAATATTTGTAGGTACATTTATGTATTCATAACAGAAGTACATCGTGTAGCATTGCTGACGGGCTCAGTACTCTTACTATGTTAGTTATGACATGTCTGTGTAGGCATGGACAAACTGGTGGTGTGGGGATTAGGGGGGCGGGGATTAGGGGGGTGGGCAGTCTGTAAAGTTTGGTACTGATACTGCATGTTAGTTATGACAAGTCAAGTAGGCACGACAAACTGTTGGGGTGGGGATTAGGGGGGGCGGAGATAAGGGAGGCGGAGATTAGGGGGGTGGGCAGTCGGTAAAGCTCATAACTAGTACTGTAACTACAGATTTAAATGTTCATAAATGTGTATGACACTGATCATGCAATACTTCAGCATGAAAACTTACCTACAGTGACCACCTTTCAACAGTGGTCAATACTTCATGTACTCTGATAACTCTACAGTGATCAAACTTGTGGAACAAATTAAAACTTCTCAATGGTGTCCAAAATATAACATTTAGTGACACCTCTCTATCTTGACCAATATATCAGTTAACTGGTTTCTCCATACAGTAACAAACACTTAATGTATACTGGCACCTCTCTAAAAAGACAAATACATTATGTTTACTCCTTTCCAAATTGATAAATACATTATTATACTGACACCTTCTTATGATGACCAAAACATTATGTATAATGACACCTCTATATAGTGACCAAAACATTATGTATATTAACACCTTCTTATAATGACTAAAACATTATGTATATTGATACCTCTCTATAGTGACCAAAACATTATGTATATTGACACCTCTCTATAGTGACCAAAATGTATATATTGACACCTCTCTATAGTGACCAAAATATTATGTATACTGACACCTTCCTATAATGACCAAAACATTATGTATATTGATACCTCTCTATAGTGACCAAAACATTATGTTTATTGATACCTCTCTATAGTGACTAAAACATTGTGTATATTGACACCTCTATAAAGTGACCAAAACATTATGTATATTGACACCTCTCTATAGTAACTGTTATATTATCTATACTGATTCCTTCCTGAAGTGACCAATACATAATTTATACTGACCCCTCTCTAAATTGACTAATAAATAATGTATGACACCTGTTGATATTGACCAATATATCAGTATATTGACACCTCTCTACAGTGACCAATTCATTATGTATATTGACACCTTTTTTATAATGATCAAAACATTATGTATATTGACAAATCTCTATAGTGACCAAAACATATATATTGACACCTCTCTATAGTGACCAAAAATTATGTATACTGACACCTTCCTATAATGACCAAAACATAATGTATATTGATACCTCTCTATAGTGACCAAAACATTATGTTTATTGACACCTCTCTATAGTGACTAAAACATTATGTATATTGACACCTCTATATAGTGACCAAAACATTATGTATATTGACACCTCTCTATAGTGACTGTTATATTATGTACACTGATACCTCTCTAAAGTGACCAATACATTATGTATACTGACACCTCTCTATAGTGACTAATAAATTATGTATACTGACAACTGCATATAGTGACCAATATATTATGTGTACTATGAGTTAACCTCCCTATTAGGACCAATTTCTTTAGATACTTATATATTCTGTATTCTGATACCTCTATACTGTTACCAAAAGATTATGTTTATTAACACCTCCCCATAGTGACCAATATATTACATACTCTGACACCTCTCTATAGCAGCCATTATATTATGTAAACTGACACCTTCCGAATGACAAAAAGTTTTATTGTTACCCTATTGAATGATAAAATAAATATATTAAGCAAGCTTATGCCACCAAATTAAGTATGTAATAAGATTTTCTGTCCAAATTGAGGTCCATCTTATTACACAACAATTACATTTTTCAGTCCTACGATAAGTGTTAGAAGAAATTTTACAGATCTATCGTCTTTTAAATTTGAATCCTTATTTTAATGCTATAAAAAAGCTTGAAAGTATGAGTGAAACTGAAAGATAGTCAAACATCAATTTCAAAAACATATTAGAATTCATTTTAGAAATAACAGAAACAAATCAATCCTTAAATAATTGGAAGAATATCGAAGTGTTAAGAATTTTAAACAACATTTCAAATAAACAAATGAAAGTACCAATCATTGTCTCATTAAAACATTTTCATAACAAGAATTAAAACAGTAAACTATAATGTACTCCTAATAGGCCAATTAAACAAAAGCAAAAACCTCACAAAACATTCAAAATAAAGACTGCAACAATACAGAAGTAAGCCTCTGAGGACAATTAAAATCCCAAAGTGATTGTTACCAACCTGTATCCTGGAACATGGTTGGAATTAGTCCTATATGGAGACGCGGAAGAAAGTGTGATGTTTACCATCCGGTCCCCATGACGATAGTTTCTGTAGCCAGGTGAGAGAGGCCTACTCTATGTTTACGCTTGCTCTGTTTAGCGTTGAAATACCCTAAATTGATTTCTACAGTGAGAACTAGTGAATTCCTGGCATAGAGAAGATTTGGCACACTCGGGCGCGGGAAGGCAATGTTAAACATCAATGAACTGTTGTAGAGAGAGTCGCACCTCCTATGTTTCCGACTAACATTACGAACCCGGATACTTCAAGATTCAAGATTATAATCAATTGAGGTACTACATATATTAACTTTGATTAACCATTGTACAGTGGCGCAGCAGCTGGAGCTGGGCGCCTTCTTTTCAACAATTGCCTGATGATGATATGATACAGAGCACTGTTCGTCCAAAAATAACAACTTTTCTAATTATGCAAACAAGAAATAGTTACATTGGTATTACAGGAATAAACTCACTTGGTAGACATAGGGAATTACTTTTGGCAGAAGAAACAGGAAATAATTGCATACAAGAAACACCTGCACCTTCAAATAAACCAGGGACTGTGATGCTTGTAAAATTTTCTTCTCTTTTATTTTAAGTCTAAATGATTTATTATAGAATCATTTTTCTCGCTGGGGTTTTGCTATTAAATTTGGCAAACTGAGAAGTAATAGACTTTGCAGAAATAATGTGTGGAATTTTCTGTCCCTCTGTTAGACAGGCCTGAAGAGATAAGCTGTTCAATTTGGACCGAGGCCAATTCGGGTAAAGGATGGAATTCACAATATTATGGAGTAAGGGAGATAACTCTTAGACACTTACACTGTGTGTGTATTAGCTGGCTATTTATCAGTGGTTTGATACTGTGATAAGATCAGTCTAATGATCAGACTAATAACCGGGAGGTAGGGAGCTAATCCCTCACACAGAACACAGCACTTGATCATAATAAATACCTTACATATCTGCACACCAATTTGTTCACTCAACATCCACAGATCTAGATGTAAGCAGGCATTGTATTATAATAGACGACCTACAGAGACGCTTTAATGCTAGTTGTGCAGCAGCAACCAGGCAAGCATCCAGGTTATACTGTTAAATGGCCTGAAATTGGAGGTCGAGTATGCTATGGTATAAATGATTTAAAACAGTTGATACTTTCCAAATTAGAAAAATATTCACCAGAAATCTGACTGCATTGAGCTTTCTATGTACACAGAAACTAAAATGACTTGATAGATGAGATTAGTCTAAACTGTAACCCAAATATCTGGATTAATGATATTCTATTATAAACAGAAAAAATGGAATTGATGAAAGACAACACAAGTGAACACACATACACAAACACATGTGCAATACAGATGTGCTGATTCTACTGTATAACTACTGTACTCAGGTTGAACTGAGGAAACTTTTGAAAGATCAAATAAAAAAAATTCACAAAACAATCATGTTTACTTCAGAATCGTTTTGAACTTTTGTTTAGATTTTTCTTCAAAGATTGCATTCTAACAACAAAACATGTTGTTTAAGTGTGATTAAAACAAGATCCAACTCTGTAGAGGATCTTCAATGTCTCTCAAGTCAGGAGAAAATGGTAACAACACTATACTGCTATTCCCGGCCCCCAGACAAACACAGACACAAACCTATCTATTTGTAGACTTTTCAAGGAACACGGTTCAAACAAACACAAGAGTGAATTTAGATACATGTGTCAGTGTGCTGACAGCTCGACTCACTCAGTAAGTAGGGGAAGTCTACCTTCACTTAAATACTGACTCTTTATTTCAATTATTTCTCCATCAATCTTCATTAGGTCGTAATGACTCCTGCCTACCGACTGTATACACCTTAGACTTAACGCGGGAGTATCACTATAACCTCTGTTGGCCAGGTAATATAGGTATTGATACATGTATTGGTAGGTAGATACAGTTATTGACAGGTAGATACAGGTATTGGTAGGTAGATACAGTTATTGACAGGTAGATACAGTTATTGGTAGGTAGATACAGTTATTGACAGGTAGATACAAGTATTGGTAGGTAGATACAGTTATTGACAGGTAGATACAGGTATTGACAGGTAGATACAGTTATTGGTAGGGAGATACAGTTATTGACAGGTAGATACAGATATTGACAGGTAGATACATGTATTGGAAGATAGATACAGTAATGACAGGTAGATACAGTTATTTACAGGTAGATACAGTTATTGACAGGTAGATGCAGTTATTGGTAGGTAGATACAGTTAGTGACAGCTGGATACAGGTATTGGTAGGTAGATACAGTCATTGACAGGTAGATACAGGTATTGGTAGGGAGATACAGTTATTGACAGGTAGATACAGTTTTTGGTAGGTAGATACAGTTATTGACAGGGAGATACATGTATTGGTAGATAGATACAGTAATGACAGGTAGATACAAGTATTGGTAGATAGATACAGGTATTGGTAGATAGATACATGTATTGATAGGTAGATACAGCTATTGATAGGTAGATACAGGTATTGCCAGGTAGATACAAGTATTGGTAGGTAGATACAGTCATTGACAGGTAGATACAGGTATTGACAGGTAGCTACAAGTATTGGTAGGTAGGTACAGTTATTGACAGGGAGATACAGGTATTGACAGGTAGATACAGTTTTTGGTAGGTAGATACAGTTATTGACAGGCAGATACATGTATTGGTAGATAGATACAGTAATGACAGGTAGATACAAGTATTGGTAGATAGATACAGTTATTGACAGGTAGATACAGTTATTGATAGGTAGATACAGGTATTGACAGGTAGATACAGTTATTGACAGGTAGATACAGGTATTGACAGGTAGATACAGTTATTGGTAGATAGATACAGGTTTTGGAAGATAGATACAGTTATTGACAGGTAGATACAGGTATTGATAGGTAGATATAGTTATTGACAGGTAGATACATGTATTGATAGGTAGATACAAGTATGGATAGGTAGATACATGTATTGGTTGATAGATACAGGTATTGATAGGTAGATACAGGTATTGGTAGATAGATACAGGTATTGACAGGTAGATACAAGTATTGACAGGTAGATACAGGTATTGGTAGATAGATACAGGTATTGGTAGATAGATACAGTTATTGATAGGTAGATACAGGTATTGATAGGTATATACAAGTATTGGTAGATAGATACAGGTATTGATAGGTAGATACAGGTATTGGTAGATAGATACATGTATTGATAGGTAGATACAGGTATTGACAGGTAGATACAAATATTGGTAGATAGATACAGTTATTGACAGGTAGATACAAGTATTGACAGGTAGATACAGGTATTGATAGGTAGATACAGGTATTTATAGGTAGATACAAGTATTGATAGGTAGATACATGTATTGATAGGTAGATACAGCTATTGATAGGTAGATACAGGTAGTGATAGGTAGATACAGGTATTGATAGGTAGATATATGAATTGATAGGTAGATACAGGTATTGATAGGTAGATACAGGTATTGATAGGTAGATACATGTATTGATAGGTATATACATGTATTGGTAGGTAGATACAGCTATTGATAGGTAGATACAGATACAGGTATTGATAGGTAGATACATGTATTGATAGGTATATACATGTATTGGTAGATAGATACAGGTATTGATAGGTAGATACATGTATTGGTAGATAGATACATGTATTGATAGGTAGATACAGGTATTGATAGGTCGATACAGGTATTGATAGGTAGATACAGCTATCGATAGGTAGATATAGGTATTGATAGGTAGATACAGCTATTGGTAGATAGATACAGCTATTGATAGGTAGATACAGTTATTGATAGGTAGATACAGGTATTGATTGGTCGGTATAGATAAAGGTATTTATAGGTAGGTAGATACAGGTATGAACAGGTATATAATATATAGGTATTAATAAATAGGTAGGTAGATACAGGTATTGAAAGGTATCAACTTGAGAATGTACATGTAGTATGGTCAACTTGATACAACATTACTCTTTCCAATGCCTCTGTTAGAAGTCGAACCCGAACTGAGTCTTGCCCTCTACCAAATAAACTAATGAACAATTCCCCCTAGCTGAGTTGGTATGTAGGGGCTAGTATCTTATCATGGTGACATACTCCCCCTCCACAAAAGAACTTATCCTGAATTTTCCAGGGGTCATAGTGACTTTTGCTAAAGTATCTCAGAGTATTTTTGTTAATGTTTCCTGGGAAATATGTAGCTTGGTAAACTTGACAATATATCAGGAGACATACTCTGTGGTCAGCACAAGACTTTTTGTATGCATTTTTGTCAACTTGATTTTATCACCATGTGTTATGTCCAACTTAACATCACCTACAACGAGAATTGTCAACTTGAAAAAGACATTCTGAAACTGAAAAGATGAATAACATTCTTAGGGTATCTTTCCCTACTTTTACATTTGTTTTTGACATTGTCAACATGAAGCTTTGTTAGTGTAATACATGATAGTTAGAGCGTTAATACATGTAATTATACGATTAAAATATGATCTCTACAAATCCTCTAAATAAGTGTTTGTTCAGAATGAAATACAATATCTCCCAGTCATGGTTGTTTAACCAATGAGAATGAAGTTGACAGCAAGTGATTAAGTTGTCCAATCAGAGAAACTGTCACAAACATACTTGAAATAGAGATGAAGACATGAATGTGGTAGGTTAAACAATGCAAGGAGGACAACAACCAATCAAGGAGGAGGATACATAGGGCAACCACAGTACAGAACCATAACCAATCAAACAACACGACACAAACAGTGTTAGCATGACTAACTAATGAGGGATTAGGATGTTCTCAGGGTAACCAAATGGGGACCAATCAGAGACAACATGACATACTAATCCTCCAATCAGCTTCAGGACATTCAGACATGTGACATGGGGCTAAGCAAGGGACATTTTCAAAGCAGTCATGATTGCTGGAAGGCAGGATACTGAATATTCCGGAGCTGGAACAGCGTCGGTAATCTGTGCATCGGTAAAAATCACATTGAAACAAATGAAAAATCACACCACATAACAACATGCATGTATCTATTATAATGATAAAATATGGGATAAAAGCATACAGGTATTACAATAATATGAGACTAAGGAAGACATCTATTATAGCTATAAAGCATGAGGTCAGGGTGTACATAAAGTATGGGATTAGTGCTTACATAATTATAAAGTGAGAAGAAGGAATGTATACTGAAAGTGGGGACAAGTTAACTGTACTTTTGACTTGATCTTATGTATCAATACTCTCTCTCAGTCTAAATATTTTAAATACGTTAACAATGTCATACAAAAACACTTTTCTGCTGACACTTCAATAATGTTCAATTCGTACCTTGACTAATTTTATACAGATTTTCTCAACCAAAGTGAGATATAGACACATTTAGTAAAGTGTTTTCTACCCCCGAGATATAATCCTTGTTACGAATTCCTGATACAAGATTTTCTGATGTGACGGACACTTTGAAGTTAGAATTATGTCTGTAATGGCTCCTCAGCACTGGTATATTGTAACTGGAGCCACTGAATATTGTATCATTAACGCAAGATTTCTTCTGCAGTGTTTATATATCGAGGTACAAAACTAACACTTTTTTTCAGGAAGGAGTGATATATTTTTTGTTAAAGTTACTAACAAAACATCTCCTTCCATTTTGAATACCATAATGAAAAATATTTTTTCAACCAGGTACACTAGAAACTTTCTGCAATGATAATTATCATTATTTAATTAATGATGAAATAAAACTTTTGAAATATCTCACAGTGGAGATTGGTAGAAAAACATGCAGAAACATCAGAATTACTGGATGAGGGGGCTTTCAAACGTACATTACTACTTCCAGAAATGTGTGACATATTGTTGTCAATGTGAAGTTCTCTGATGTGGTATTACATCGATTGTGACGTAATAAAATGATAATGAAATGACGTCACCGAGTTCCAGATTATATTTTGATATCACAATGGAGACAATAGACACAGAGCCTAAGTAGCAGAATTTTAGACATCAATAGTGACTTTGAAAAACATGGTGGTTTTTATCAATATTTACAAATAATTCTGACAGTGTGATAAAAAGGATCTTAAAATTGTTTCCTTTTCATGTCTATCTTAAATTCTATCCTTTTTATCACAAACTTTCCATATCAGTTTACCAGATGCGTGCCAGAAGAAAAGTTTTGACTAATTCGCCTCCTGTCCTATATGTGTGTACTCACCTGATGGTTTCCCCTGGTGTCCGTAGATGATAATCGTCTCCTCCCGTTCCTCCTCGTCCGACCCAGAAACACTGCCGTACCCACTGCTTGTTTTGGACACATTCATACGCCCGGTCTTATCACCGTTAAGCTCCTTTGATGTTTGTTTCAGCGGGAGTAATGTGTCCATCGGTTTCGTCATTTCCACCTTGGCCTCAGCTTTATCCCCCCACGATTCCCCTTTGGTAACGGAAAAATTATCTGTCTCCAGAGAAATATCATGTTCTTCAATTTCCTCCCCTGAATCGTCTCTTTTCTTTCTCACCACATATTTACTCCGAGAAAAGTAATCGGAACCTCGCTGTGTGATCTTACGCTTCGACTTGGTCACATCTTTTTCGTAGTGATACGTACCACCGGGAGAGGTTATCTTGGTTTCAATGATCGTGTCTCGTTCCTCTTCCTCAGTATTGCTCTCCGACCTACGAAGTTTCATTTTCTGCGTGATAGTGGTATCACCCACGTTTTTCTGGGATGTACTTGACACAGATACGGCACCATCGTCGTCCTCTATTATTGATATTGCACTGTTGTTTTCTGGTGTACTATTCACATCCAAGAAGAGTTGTGATTTTTCTAATCCTTTCTGTGGCGTAGTTACCAGTTTATTGTCATTGTTTTCTGGGAAATTTAAGAAAATTTGTCTGGTAAAGATATCAATATATTGTGTATGACAGATCATTTTCTGTTCTTTTAACAAAAAGTGACAAAATGTAACCAACTTATTAGGTCTCATTTGTCTGTAGGTCTACTCTCTTGTTCTTTAGAGTTCTCATAAACAGACTTAAATTTAAACAATACTTTGGCTGCAGAAATTTTCAAGTATTAAAAAATTAATAATATTTTCTTTACATTAAAACAACACTAAGGATAAATTATATTTATCAGGAATTTTCTCTAGTCAAATTTAAAGAAACTGCTAAGTTCAATTAGCGATTATAGTAATTTTGGCTGAAGAAATTCTAAATTTATTTTATTCGATAACAAAGCAGACAGGTAAACAAAATATGATAATGAACTTTGCAGATCATTCATCAGCAGAAAAAGGGTCTGGTGTCCCAAAATAATAAGCCTTACCAATGAACTTGATAATTGATTTTCACCTTAACATTTATTCCTATCGATATCCTTGACCTTACAGTTGGTACTCACCTTTGTCAGAAGGGGGAGAACTCTTGGTGTCTTTAACAGTTTTCTAAAATACAAATAGAACACCTTTGTGGTCATTTTGTAGAAGGATTGAAATGCATACTCGTATAACAATTATGAGCGTGTAAATCCCAATTGCTTAACCATATCAGTGCACTTTGCCTTCGACAAGGGCAACTATTTGTCAAAGTTGCCACAAAATAATTACCCAGGGTCTAACAAAATAACTATATGTACATCATTTCACCAATTTAGTAACCCTGAATTAGTATCCAAACATATGCTTGATACAATACCGATAATCTTATGCAAGAATTTACCCTGTAATTAATTTTTCAGCTTGGTCATTTCCTATTTATTTCACTGTTTATTAACAGATTTATTCTGTTTGCTTGACAGAAAAACCTGACAATCTAACCTCAACTTAACCAGCTGTCCCCCACAGCCCTGTTTTTGTAGGTTGGAGATATATTTTACAGGGATTGTGTGTCACACAGGTACTAATACAACCCTCGGTGTGTACATGTCAACACCTTGTTGTCACTGTAGTGAATTAGTCTAATATAAAAACGTGGACTTTACTACAGTCATACATCAACTAAACAATTACACCTGGCAATGACAGATTTGTTTCTCATAAAGCCGAGATATGTTATCCATTTCTCGGAGACTGTAATCCATTTCTCGGGCAAACAGTCTAGGACTGTGTCTCTTCTATGATAGAAAGTTTCTCGCTATCGTGAATGGGTGACAAATTCATTTGATATTCAACAATGAAAATGTTTTTCGAAATTAATTTTTCTCTGTCAGTACATTTTCACAATATTAATGCCCATCAATATTTAATGTCAAAATTCATGATTATATTACAAGCTTAATATATGTAGAAGCAAATTGTTCGATAACCAACTAAACATGTAATGTATGCTTTGTTTATGACATAATAATACCAGTTTGACATAACGATACATGTACCAGCTGGTATCTAATTATACTAACCTTTATTATCTCTTCTTCAATTGTCTCATTTTCATTAATATCCACTTTCGTGTCTTCAACCACGAGGTCAAGGTCATTAGAAGTGTTGACACTACTTTGTGGTTCTTCAACTGCACTAAGTAGTTCTGAGAATGCAGCCTCCATGTCTGAAGAGTCGAGAGCCTTGCTATTCCCTGGAAGTGAACACGACCGTTTCTTTTTCTCAATCCAAGACTTTCCCGAAGCTTCAAAGTCACTTTCTGGTTTAATCTCCCCTTTGCCTTTCACATTGTCTTTTTTAGGAGTGATGGCGGACAAAGAGAATCGTCGTTGATACTTGGGACTCTCTTCCCCAGCTGAAGGTGAGCTAGGTGTTTGGCACGTGTCTAATGACTTGTCACTAGGGATACGGATGTCCTTGACATTTCGTGAATCTGGTGATGGCGATGAAGATGAAGCAGGGGAAGACTGTGAGGGAGCAGTTGTCGTAGGTGACAACTTAAATAAAGAGTGTGTTGTAGGTGATGTTTGTGGTGAAGAGGGTGTCGCAGGTGACTTTGGCGATGAAGAGGATGTGGTATCTTTATCTGATGAAGGTGACACCTTTGGCGGAGGAGAAAATGTTCTGTTCGATCGCAAATGTACGATTGATAACGAGGAATGATATGAAGACTTATTCTCCCCTTCTTTTTCTGAAGATTTCAGAACTGGGGAACCTGCATCTCTACATACAGTTGGCGAGGAAAGATATTGGGGTTTGTCTTTTCTTAACACTAAATTATGCTCGTCAGTTTTACTGGCATCGCTTGACCTTCTGTGACTGTTTTTGAGGGAGTTTCCACTTAAGTCACTATACCGCCTCTGGTTTCTCACAGAAGTGTGATCATGTGACTGGTCACCATGTCCGTTCAGGACCACTTCACCGTTTTGTTGACTGATCTCATTCTCTGGAATGTTTGAACTAAGTCCTACTTTTGACTGTGGTGATGATGATAGACTGGTGTTGGAATCCTGTACAAATTTTTTTTGTCGTCGGTCAACAAAGCTGTGGCCCCTGGTCAGATTCCTACCATTAACTGGCTGGTCACCACTCTCGCGATCTGAAAAATACAAACATAAGTAAAGTTAACTAAGTCAGTATTTCAGGAAAACAATCTTAACTACTGAGAGAAAATTCAATTTTGTAATATAAATCTGATACAAATAACCCTTTAAATTATATGACATAATTGACTTTCAGTCAGGACAAAGTCATGCTCAGCCACAACATTACTCAAATCATAACTTTCAGAAGGGACAAAGTCATGCTGAAATAAGTCATTACTTTCAGATGGGACAAAGTCATGCTGAGTTAAGTCATTATTTTCAGACAGGACAAATTCATGCTGAAATAAGTCATTACTTTCAGACAGGACAAAGTCATACTGAGTTAAGTCATTTCTTTCAGATAGGACAAAGTCGAGCTGAGCTTAATCATCATTTTAGGATAAAACAAGGCAAGGTCATGTGGAGCTAAATTATCTATCCGCTTTCATTTTTTCCTGATCTGGGGTTATGGTTGGCTTAACAGCAATCTCCACAAAGAATTCTCATACTACGTCAAAAAGCTGATAGAGCTAGCAACATATACACATGCTTTATCATATTTATACCGTGTAAACTTCATATCCATGTAAAAAATCTTATCAGCTCGATAGATTTCCCACAGATTTTTACCATTTGACACCAGAATACTTCAGTGCACCTAAAGGTTAGGCAGGTGTTCAACAGAATGAAGATGTTTTTGCAAAATAAAAGTGTACAATTCCCTGGTGTTATATGTACAGTATCAAAGGTGTACAATTCCCTGATGTTATATGTATAGTATCAAAGGTGTACAATTCCCTGGTGCTATATGTACAGTATCAAAGGTGTACAATTCCCTGATGTTATATGTATAGTATCAAAGGTGTACAATTCACTGGTGTTATATGTACAGTATCACAGGTGTACAATTCCCTGGTGTTATATGTACAGCATCAAAGGTGTACAATTCCCTGATGTTATATGTATAGTATCAAAGGTGTACAATTCCCTGGTGCTATATGTACAGTATCAAAGGTGTACAATTCCCTGATGTTATATGTATAGTATCAAAGGTGTACAATTCACTGGTGTTATATGTACAGTATCAAAGTTGTACAATTCCCTGGTGTTATATGTACAGTATCAAAGGTGTACACTTCCCTGGTTTTATATGTACAGTATCAAAGGTGTGAGATGATATGGCATAGAGTTAAGATTTGTATCCTCCTGAATTCTTACAGGCTTATCAAAATCACTGTGAAAATCTGTTGACATAGAAATCAGCTGCAATGCCTGATTTTTCCAAACAATGATCAGTTTAAATATCTATAAACAGGAATATTCATATACAAATGGGTTTTGGTTTTACTGTGTTCATCCTATTACCAGCTAGGGTAACTCAAGGATGTATTCGTATACAAGAATATTAATGTATCCATCAACAGGGATGTTTCTCCGAATTGTGAAAGATTTAGTTTGGTAAGCATACAGTATTAGGTGAGATGTTCAACAGATTAACCTTAGCATGGAAGACAAATAGTTAAGTTGAATGCAAGATACTATAAATGTAACCAACATGACCTTCACTTGTTGTCTGTTTTTTTCTTATGTTAAGGAACAAAATCACTGGTAGCTAAGGACTTGAGATCCATGAGTCCTGGAACTGTTTAAACAGTGTTAGTACTGTGGTACTAATAATGACCATTGAACTAAGTAGCCCAGCTCGTACTTAAACCCGACCTCGGTCATGAAGAACAGATTTACACGGTATATCTTTTATCAACAAATATATCTATATTCCACCCAAGGCTAAATGCACAATAAATCTTAAAACCTGTATTGTCTCCGCACTGTCCCTACATAATAGTCTTAATCTGTGTTTTCACTTCACATTTATTTATGACGTTTCTCAATTGAACATTTTTGGATTTGTGGAACACATGACTGATCTATTTAAATGCTGTCCCAGATCGTATCATTTCACATGTGAAATTGGACACTGGTTAACAGTGTGTTGGAGTCAACACGCCACTTCTACACCAATAAATCAGGGGAGAACAGTTGTAATAAGAAACACACCCTCAGAAAGGTTAATCATTATTAACTCTATCACTGTGACCTTCACCTTAGACACAGGTGTAAATTTGACAGGGGTGTTGATTGAACCCTATTGAACAATTTCTGTTTGCTTCATTTCATATACATCATCAAAAGGAACTGGTCTGCCCTAGGCTGAACAAGTTAAGCTAATCTTTGGAATTTCACTGTCGCCAAGATCACTGAAGACAAGCAATACAGACAGTGTACTTAGATGAATTGACAACAAAATTGCTCAAAGAAATAAAAGAATTTAAAATTTTAGAATAGATATGGATGACCAAAAATCTGTTTCAAAGGTTAGATTTTGGCATATTAACAGTAGGAGGACTAACACACCTATGTTAATGTAGAGAATTTGTTTCAGGTTTATTTCTGTTATGCGGACAACATACTTATATTAACATATATAGATCTGGGTTGGGGTTTGTTTTATATGAATTTACAATACAAGGACTATACTTATTGTAATATATGGTTTGTTATAGGCTATTTTCAGTACAAGGACTACATATTGTGTTATTGTATATAGGTCTGTTTTTTATAAATTTATGGTGCAAGGATTACTTTGGTAATGTATATGGTTTGTTATAGGTATATCTATGGTAGGAGGACAACCCATACCTATGTTAATGTATAAGGTTTATTATAGGTATATCTATGGTAGGAGGACAACCCATACCTATGTTAATGTATAAGGTTTATTATAGGTATATCTATGGTAGGAGGACAACCCATACCTATGTTAATGTATATGGTTTGTTATAGGTATAGCTATGGTAGGAGGACAACCCATACCTATGTTAATGTATATGGTTTGTTATAGGTATATCTATGGTAGGAGGACAACCCATACCTATGTTAATGTATATGGTTTGTTATAGGTATATCTATGGTAGGAGGACAACCCATACCTATGTTAATGTATATGGTTTGTTATAGGTATATCTATGGTAGGAGGACAACCCATACCTATGTTAATGTATATGGTTTGTTATAGGTATATCTATGGTAGGAGGACAACCCATACCTATGTTAATGTATATGGTTTGTTATAGGTATATCTATGGTAGGAGGACAACCCATACCTATGTTAATGTATATGGTTTGTTATAGGTATATCTATGGTAGGAGGACAACCCATACCTATGTTAATGTATATGGTTTGTTATAGGTATATCTATGGTAGGAGGACAACCCATACCTATGTTAATGTATATGGTTTGTTATAGGTATATCTATGGTAGGAGGACAACCCATACCTATGTTAATGTATATGGTTTGTTATAGGTATATCTATGGTAGGAGGACAACCCATACCTATGTTAATATATATGGTTTGTTATAGGTATATCTATGGTAGGGGGACAACCCATACCTATGTTAATGTATTGTATATGGTTTGTTTGAGGTATATTTACGGTACAGGACTGTATAAAGATATTTTATAACTGGATTACACCAAGATTAAGAGGCCAGGTCTGGGAATGTCACACCACACATTCCTAATGATCTGTCTATGTAACCCTGTATCAGTACATGTATCTGTCCTGTCCCAGCTTACCATCCTCATTAATAGTTGTCTCTGTAACCATGCATCAGTACATGTATCTGTCCTGTCCCAGCTTACCTTCCTCATTAATAGTTGTCTCTGTAACCCTGTATCAGTTCATGTGTCTGTCCTGTCCCAGCTTACCATCCTCATACATTATCTGTCTATGTAACCCTGTATCAGTACATGTATCTGTCCTGTGCCCAGCTTACCATCCTCATTAATAGTTGTCTCTGTAACCATGCATCAGTACATGTATCTGTCCTGTCCCAGCTTACCTTCCTCATTAATAGTTGTCTCTGTAACCCTGTATCAGTTCATGTGTCTGTCCTGTCCCAGCTTACCATCCTCATACATAGTTGTCACTGTAACCCTGTATCAGTACATGTGTCTGTCCTGACCCAGCTTGCCATCCTCATACATAGTTGTCTCTGTAACCCTGTAGCAGTACATGTATCTGTCCTGCCCCAGCTTACCATCCTCATTCATAGTTGTCCCTGTAACCCTGTATCAGTACATGTGTCTGTCCTGACCCAGCTTGCCATCCTCATACATAGTTGTCTCTGTAACCCTGTATCACCCAGCTTACCATCCTCATACATAGTTGTCTCTGTAACCCTGATGTCACACCACACATTCCTAATGATCTGTCTATGTAACCCTGTATCAGTACATGTATCTGTCCTGTGCCCAGCTTACCATCCTCATTAATAGTTGTCTCTGTAACCATGCATCAGTACATGTATCTGTCCTGTCCCAGCTTACCTTCCTCATTAATAGTTGTCTCTGTAACCCTGTATCAGTACATGTGTCTGTCCTGACCCAGCTTGCCATCCTCATACATAGTTGTCTCTGTAACCCTGATGTCACACCACACATTCCTAATGATCTGTCTATGTAACCCTGTATCAGTACATGTATCTGTCCTGTCCCAGTTTACCATCCTCATACATAGTTGTCTCTGTAACCCTGTATCAGTAGATGTGTCTGTCCTGACCCAGCTTACCATCCTCATTAATAGTCGTCTCTGTACCCCTGTATCAGTACATGTATCTGTCCTGCCCAGCTTACCATCCTCATTCATAGTTGTCTCTGTAACTCTGTATCAGTACATGTATCTGTCCTGTACCCAGCTTACCATCCTCATTATTAGTTGTCTCTGTAACCCTGTATCAGTACATGTATCTGTCCTGTGCCCAGCTTACCATCCTCATTAATAGTTGTCTCTGTAATCCTGTATCAACATAGTTGTCTCTGTAACCCTGTATCAGTACATGTCTCTGTCCTGTCCCAGCTTACCATCCTCATTAATATTTGTCTCTGTAACCCTGTATCAGTACATGTAGCTGTCCTGTCCCAGCTTACCATCCTCATTCATAGTTGTCT